TGAATTGATAAAAGACAAACTGACATTAACTATGCCAATTTTGGAGGTTGTGTATACAATAGTGACTTTGCCAGAGGCTGTGAAGATCTTGAAAAAAAAAAAGTGAATGGTTCATTTGTTCCCCATTTTGCCACCTGGTGGCACAAACTGTGTAAATTGCACATTGTGTGTGATGCTGAATTCGTAATCTACAGCAAAAGTTGTATTCGATTACACTGTTACAGAGTTCTACTCCTATGTAAGTTAAAAGCACCCGAAAACCTGAAAAAAGATTTCTGAATTTATGATATGTTTCAGTACCCTCATTTCAAATGGCCATATCTCGACGAGTTTTCAACATAGAGAGGTATAATTTTGGACTTGTTAGCTTAAGGCCGCATTCTATAACATATATTTTTTATAAATTTTTTGGAGGGGGTCATGTTCCCAATTTTCCGAAATTTGGTCCACTTGACATGGAATGACCCATTTTTAGCTCCTGGACCCTCTAGAACGTTACACATCAATAAAGGTTGAGTTCAAATTTTGTAATATTTGACCCAAACTTGTGTAGCTTGTGGACCCTCTATAGTCATTGTTTTTTATACGCCCACATGGAAATGTGGTCGTATATTGCCGTCGCCCCCGTCCGTCCGTCCGTCCGTCCGTCCATCGTCCACAATTTCTTGTGAACACTCTACAGACTACATTTATCAACCGATTGTTTTGAAATTGATATATGTTGTTTGTATAAGTGAGATGAAGAAGCCTATTTAATTTCAATAACTTCTGTTAATTTCTTCTGGAGTTATGGCCCTTGTTTTACTTTGTTGCACCTTGTGAATGCTCTAACGACAAAAGTTATCAACCGATCTGTATGAAATTCATATGCATCATTTAAATTAGTAAAACAAAGAAGCCTATTGAATTTCAGCAATTTCCGTTAATTACATCTAGAGTTATGGCCCTTGTTTCACTTTGTTGAATCTTGTGAACGCTCTAATGACAAAATTTATCAACCGATCAGTATGAAATTGATATGCATCATTTAAATTAGTGAAATGAAGAAGCCTATTGAATTTCAGCAATTTCCGTTAATTTCTTCTGGAGTTATGGTCCTTGTTTCACTTTGTTGCACCTTGTGAACGCTCTAACAACAAAAGTTATCAACCGATCTGTATGAAATTTATATGCATCTTTTAAATTAGTAAAACAAAGAAGCCTGTTGAATTTCAGCAATTTCCGTTAATTACATCTAGAGTTATGGCCCTTGTTTCACTTTGTTGAATCTTGTGAACGCTCTAATGACAACAGTTATCATCTGATCTGTTTGAAATTGATATGCATCATTTAAATTAGTGAAATGAAGAAGCCTATTGAATTTCAGCAATTTCCGTTAATTTCTTCTGGAGTTATGGCCCTTGTTTTAATTTGTTGCACCTTGTGAACGCTCTAATGACAAAAGTTATCAACCGATCTGTATGAAATATATATGCATCATTTAAATTAGTAAAACAAAGAAGCCTATTGAATTTCAGCAATTTCCGTTAATTACATCTAGAGTTATGGCCCTTGTTTCACTTTGTTGAATATTGTGAACACTCTAATGACAACAGTTATCATCCGATCTGTTTGAAATTGATATGCATCATTTAAATTAGTGAAATGAAGTAGCCTATGGAATTTCAGCAATTTCCGTTAATTACGCCGTGAGTTATGGCCCTTGTTTTACTTTGTTGTACAAAAGTTATTATCCAATCTGTATGAAATTTATATGTATCATTTAAATTAGTAAAACGAACAAGCCTATTGAGTTTCAGTTATCACCTAAATTAGTGAAATGAAGACGAACAAGCCTATTGAATGTCAGCAATTTCCATCAATTACGTCTAGAGTTATGGCCCTTGATTTACTTTGTTGAACTTTGTGAACTTTCGAACAACAAAAGGTATCATCCGATCTGTATGAAATTCGTATGCATTATTTGAATTATTAAAATGAAAAAAGCCTTTCGAATTTGAACAATTTCTATAGATTGCTTCCAGAGTTACGGCCCTTGTTTTAGATTTTAGAACCTTGTGAACCTTCAAACAACGGAAATTATAATGTCATCTGTATGAAATTGTCTATTAAATTCCCCTAATTACCTACAAAAGAATAAATATGTGACAACCCTTGTCGACTGCTCGGACAATTTAGCTGCTGTGGGCGTATGTTTTGTTGTCTGGCAACCTATCTTTAAGGTGAGCGATCGCTCTCAAGCGCCTGCCACTAACCTGAATGTCGACTGAGGGGAGCTTTGAAAGTTGCTCTCCTTTACAAAGTCACTGGGGGTTTATTATCATTTATGAATCCAGGAATGACCCCCTAACATGCAGTTATTGAGAACCATTTCCCATACACACCACTGATCACTCTCCTTGATATCAGATCACTCTCCTTAATTTCTAAATCCCTCATCTTATACAAACAACTTTTTAGAAGTCACAATTTTTATCTGATTTTGATAAGCTTAAAATAAATCTTTATATCCCAAATATCACAGTCCATTTTGATATTTGCTCATTTCAGACCATAACTTCCTGGATAGCTCCTAATTGTACGAAAAATCCCTTTTTTATACGCCCACATTGAAATGTGGACGTATATTGCCGTCGCCCCCGTCCGCCCGTCCGTCTGTCGGTCGGTCCGTCTGTCGGTCCGTCCGTCCGTCCATTGTCCACAATTTCTTGTGAACGCTCTAACGCCAAAAGTTATCATCCAATTGTTTTAAAATTTATATGTTGTTTACATTAGTGAGATGAAGAATCCTCTTTAATTTCAATAATTTCTGTGTATTATGTCTAGAGTTATGGCCCTTGTTTCACTTTATTGAACCTTGTGAACGCTCTAACACCAAAAGTTATCATCCGATTTTTCTGAAATTTATATGCATTATTTAGATTACTGAAACGAAGAAGCCTATTGAATTTCAGCAATTTCCGTAATGTCTAGAGTTATGGCCCTTGTTTCACTTTATTGATCGTTGTGAACGCTCTAACATCAAAAGTTATCATTTGATCTTTCTGAAAATTATATGCATTATTTAAATTAGTGAAACGAAAAAGCCTATTGAATTTCAGCAATTTCTGTGTATTATGTCTAGGGTTATGGCCCTTGTTTCACTTTATTGACCCTTGTGAACGCTCTAACACCAAAAGTTATCATCCGATTTTTCTGAAATTTATATGCATTATTTAGATTACTGAAACGAAGAAGCCTATTGAATTTCAGCAATTTCCGTAATGTCTAGAGTTATGGCCCTTGTTTCACTTTATTGATCGTTGTGAACGCTCTAACATCAAAAGTTATCATTTGATCTTTCTGAAAATTATATGCATTATTTAAATTAGTGAAACGAAAAAGCCTATTGAATTTCAGCAATTTCTGTGTATTATGTCTAGGGTTATGGCCCTTGTTTCACTTTATTGACCCTTGTGAACGCTCTAACACCAAAAATTATCATCCGATTTTTCTGAAATTTATATGCATTATTTAGATTACTGAAAAGAAGAAGCCTATTGAATTTCAGCAATTTCCGTAATGTCTAGAGTTATGGCCCTTGTTTCACTTTATTGATCGTTGTGAACGCTCTAACATCAAAAGTTATCATTTGATCTTTCTGAAAATTATATGCATTATTTAAATTAGTGAAACGAAAAAGCCTATTGAATTTCAGCAATTTCTGTTAGTAATGTCTAGAGTTATGGCCCTTGTTTCACTTTATTGACCCTTGTGAACGCTCCAACACCAAAAGTTATCACCCAATCTTTGTGAAATGTATATGCATTATTTAGATTAGTGAAACGAAGAAGCCTTTTGAATTTCAGCAATTTCCGTTTATTACGTCTAAAGTTATGGCCCTTGTTTCACTTTATTGATCCTTGTGAATGCTCTAACGTCAAAAGTTATCATTCGATCTTTCTGAAAATTATATGCATTATTTAAATTAGTGAGACAAAAAAGTCTATTGAATTTCAGCAATTTCTGTGTATTACGTCTAGAGTTATGGCCCTTGTTTCACTTTATTGAACCTTGTGAACGCTCCAACGCCAAAAGCTTATCACCCAATCTTTGTGAAATGTATATGCATTATTTAGATTAGTTGAATTTAAGCAATTTCAGTTTATTACGTCTAGAGTTATGGCCCTTGTTTCACTTTATTGATCCTTGTGAACACTCTAACGCCAAAAGTTATCACCTGATCTTTGTGAAATTTATATGCATGAATTAAATTAGTGAAATGAAAAAGCCTGTTGAATTTCAGCAATTTACAATAATTACTTCTAAAGTTATTGCCCTTGTTTTATTTTGTTAAACCTTGTTAATGCCTGATTGATTAAAGTTATCATCCGATATGTATGAAATTTATATGCATTATTTAAATTAGTAAAACGAAAAAGCCTGTCAAATTTCAACAATTTCTGTATATTACTTCCAGAGTTGAGACCCTTGTTTCAGTTTTTAGAACCTTGTAAACCCTCAAACGACAAAATTTATAATCTGATCTGTATGGAACTGTCTTGTAAAGGCCCCCAATTACCTACAAAGGAATAAAAATGCGACAACCCTTGTCGACCGCTCGGACGATATAGCTGCTGTTGGCGTATGTTTTGTTGCCTGGCTACCTATTTTTTTTTCAGCTTCTTCTCTATCCATCTCTTGCAAAATGTAGGCGTATATTGCCTGGTAACTGCTGGGGTTCTCAATTTTTGCAGTCATGAACTGGAGGATCAGTCTGAAATTTTATATTGATGTATTCGGGTCCAAATAAGAAAATACAGCCTTAGCACCGTTTGCATGTTGCTCTTGCGAACGTGCGTGTACTTAATAATTTGGGATCAGAACCTCTAAAAATTTTCTACCCCCTCCCCCCGATATCGGTGTACAATGTTAGAATAAGAAAGTCTGGTGAACAATTTGGTGAGTTCTGTTAGTGTTAGGTTTAGCTGTTAAAAAGACAAACTTATCTTTTTTTTCAGCCAGATTGATATTTCATCAGAAGAGTATTTCTGGTAATAAGTAGAAATGTGGTCCAATAACCAATGGCAGTGGCAACAGCAGGCCCCAATAAACCAGGCACATTATGAAAATATGCCACACGATCAAGGTACAAGTGTAGCTTTACAGTTTGTGGAATATTGTTACTGTAGTATGAATTTATGATAAACTTTATTGTAACATAATATATTTATACACATGGCTCACTAGTTAATGTCAAGCAAGTCTAGTGAACACTTTGGCGAGTTCTGTAAGGGTTAGGTTTAGCTGTTATCTTAGGCTATGCTTTTTTTTATACCTATTAATTTCAAAAGGTAAAGTTCTAATATTTATAAGCTCACATTGAAATATGGTTAAAAGAAAAGTCATGGGTAACGTTTCGTAGGTGTAAAAACTTACTTCCTCAGAGAACACAAATGAAATTGGAGGCATTAAGAATGTCCTGTGACATCATAAGGTGTAAGCTAAATATAGGTAGATGACATCATAGTTTTTTTATACACCCTCGCATTTTCATGTGAACGTTTATTGCTGTCGCCGCTCATCCGTCCACAATTTGTTTGTAGGCACACAATTTTTATCCGAGTTTGATGAAACTTGAAATGTATGTTTATAACCCAAAGATCTTGGTTCCTTTTGATATTTGCGCCAGTTAAACTGACCTGATATCACACGTTGGGATGGCCTGTATTTATTTGTTATTCTTCCTATATGACATATTGTGCGTGCCTGTTTTCGAAGACTTGGGTCTCTAGTATGTTAGTGAAATCTTCAATAAAGAAATATACTTTTTACACACCCGCATTGAAATGTGGTCGTATATTGTCGTCGCCTCCGTCCGTCCGTTTGGTCCGGCGTCCACAATTGGACGCTCTAGAAGCTAAAGTTAAAGTTACAATTTCATAATTTCAAAGAAAGTCAAAACATAATTATTTCTATGACTTTTGCTCAATAGGTTGTCAACTCACTATTATACGATCATAGGTTATCTTTGTCACACTTAAAAATCTTTACAACAGAAATAATAACACAATTACCTCCCTTGTTTTCCTATTCCCCACCATGGAATAGCTATCTTCAAATGTTTGAATTTGAAGTTGAAAATTATATTTTTGCCAATTTTTCAACTGGCAATAGTGAATTATAGGATTAATAGGATTATTCTTTAACAAGGTAGGACTGTTTATAGATACCATCTATTTTAGGGCTTTATTTTAAAGATGGGTTCCCAGAAAAGTATTTATCGGGTGATTATTTCCAATAAAAGTATGGTAATTTTGGTATATATGGAAAGAAGAGATATCCAATCTTACTAGAAAAATACTGGATTCCCCAAAAAAACACTCATGGAGCGTATACAGGACCCCTAATCAACAGCCCGACGATTAGGAATTTCTGCACGCATGGTCACACGCGAACATTGAGCGCTTGATGTACAAGTTGATAAACTTTATGAAGAGTTAGACGTACATGTACAACACTTTCTGAGATAAAAATGACGGAAAAAGACGCGGGTAGTGGATAATCCGAGAATTTAATTAGGATTCGATATTTGTAATAAATAGTAAGTGATAAAAGACAACATCGTCTTATGTATGCAATGAATTCTCCTCTGACTTCCAAGAGAGGAAAGTCACGTGACATAAACATGACCTGGTTTGATCCAATTCTTATAGCAGGACATTCCTTCACAATTACAATGTTTGAGAAGGATTTGAAGCAAAGTTGTGACAAATTAATTAGTTTGAATATGTTTTTAGTCCATATATACCATTAAATCACCCAGTTTGTACGCGGGAATGTATCTTTAATACATTTTAAAAATATAACTTAAAAATATGAAATTGTAACTTTAATATCCAATTGACTTTAAGTTTATACAAAGTGTTTAAGGTCATGTGACGAAGAAGCCTATTGATTTTCAGCGATTTTCGATAATTACTGCCAGAGTTATGGCCTTTGATCACTTCAAAACAATCTTGTGGATGCTCTAGAGGTCAAAGTTAATATCCGATTGACTTTAGATTTATACACAGTGTTTAAGGTCATGAGATGAAGAAGCCTATCGATTTTCAGCAATTTCCAATAATTACTGCCAGAGTTATGGCCCTTGATCACTTCAAAAAATCTTGTGGATGCTCTAGAGGTCAAAGTTAATATCCTATTGACTTTAAATTTATACATAGTGTTTAAGGTCATGAGACGAAGAAGCCTATTGATTTTCAGCAATTTCTGATAATTACTGCCAGAGTTAAGGCCCTTGATCACTTTGAAAATCTTGTGGACGCTCTAGAGGCTAAAGTTAATATCGGATTGACTTTAAATTTATACAGTGTTTAAGGTCATGAGATGAAGAAACCAATCGATTTTCAGCGATTTCCTATAATTACTGCCAGAGTTATGACCCTTGATCACTTCAAAAAATCTTGTGGATGCTCTAGAGGTCAAAGTTAATATCCGATTGACTTTAAATTTATACGCAGTGTTTGAGGTCATGAGACGAAGAATCCTATTGATTTTCATCGATTTCTGATAATTACTGCCAAAGTTATGACCCTTGATCACTTTGAAAATCTTGTGACACTCTAGAGGCTAAAGTTATCATCCGATTGACTTCAGATTGATACACAGAGTTTAAGGTCTTGAGACGAACAAATATGATGATTTTCAATGAATTTTGATAACTTGAACATCTAAATCCATGATATTAAATTTTCCATATACTAAATGTTAGCATGGAGCAGAACTTTATAAAAACCAAACAAATTCTAATGATTTTCTGATACAGTAGAATCTGCATTAAGCAGCCACCCAAGGGAATTTTCACAACTGACCGCTTAACGGGAGTGACCTCTTAATAAAATCTCGGTGCTTTTTGTGCTGACATAAATTAAATATTATGCTTGGATGCATTAGAAGCGAACATCAATACTTGCATCTGTAAATTTGACCGTCGCTGAATCTTGCGCCGAACGAAAATTCTTTACTCAAATCTTGGAAATAACTTCTGTAAACTTGTCATTTTGTAACAACCTTCGATACTACTGTCTACCATTGTGATGCATTCGATAACATTTATCCATTTTTGTGAAAAAAATCGATGAATTAATTTTATTTTATCAAAAAAGCACATGAACAAAAAACCATCGCTGATTTTATCACCTATTTACAGGGGGTGTAACTCTGTATGTAATATTATAGGAGGCGCTAAAACATCTATTTATCAACAAAGAGGCAATGGAAAAGGGATACTATATGATTGTGACAAAACTCGGTACTTTTATTTTATTCAATCAGCATCAAATTTTGTGTTGTTACGCGTCAAACAATGATCAGGTTAGTCGTTTAATAAAACAAAAGATTAATTAATGGATAATCCTGGGTTGATTGTTATTTCTACATTTCTTTTTACCTGATCAATGGGGATCCAGTTAATTAACTACTACTCACAGGATTAGCGGGGGTGTTACAAAGAATGACAAGATGGTATCATTCAACAATGGCCGTTGAATGGGCGATGTTTTGTTGAATTTATTAGTAAAATAGTGGCCGCGTTAGAGGAGTGACCGTTGAATAAAGAGATGAAACAACAGAATTTTAATGGGGGGAATTTATCGTGACCGCTTACAAGGAGATGTCGCTGAATAGGATTGGCTGCTCATACAGATTCTACTGTAATTACTTAATAGTAAGTGCAGGGGCACTGCACCACACAAAATTTACACAAAAACAAATACACGGACAGGACATCACAGTCAGGAAAACACAAACATACAGACAATTCAAAAAAAGTGAATGGGTCCGGGGGCTAGCCGTAAGCGTCCACTGCGCTGTACGGTCCCGGGTCTGTAGTGACACAGACTTCACTCAAATTTGAAAACAATTAGGAATACAACCCAAAGAACCCATTGTGTAATGCCAGCATGAGTCATGATCTGCTATATGCTACACGAAATACGAATGTAAGCATATGTAGTAAAATTCAACTATACAAGTAACCACATTGGTGAAATGTATAAAAAAAGTAGTCTAAACTCTTAAATTCAATAAAGAAACGCTTCAGTATTTAATACATATAGGGTACATGTTCCATCGTCCAAAAAAACAAAAACAAAACTGAATACAAAGAAGCAAGTAGGAAATGTAGACTGTCTCGAGGGACAGCCGTCTGCTGACTGAGAATGACGTCATATCTTAGAAAGTGATAAAAAAATCACAATAATAAGGGCGATAATCCAGATAAAATAAAGTTAAAAGCTTAAAAAAAATAAGTTCCAGCGACTAATCGGAATTATTAAGTTATGTAATTGTACAATATTTAATAATATATTACTATAATTATGACCTATGTCTAGGTCATATGTTATTTTATTATTTTTCAATTCTGTTTTAAATTTCAAATCTATATTTGAACTTTCATTAATGCTTGGTTAGTCATTAGAGGCAGGCAGCAATTAACCTGTCAGTCAAATTATGACAGGCTGGCAACTAAAGTGGTTGATCTGTTAAGTCTCATCTAACTATTGTTTTAAATGCCTTAAGTCTTAATCCTTCAATAATTATATGTGTATATCAACACTTTCTAAGTAACTGATTTGTATAAAGTGGTTGATCTGTTAAGTCTCATCTAACTATTGTTTTAAATGCCTTAAGTCTTAATCCTTCAATAATTATATGTGTATATCAACACTTTCTAAGTAACTGATTTGTATAAATAGACAAATGTATGTTAGATGAGGATATTAGTTGGAGAGACCAGCTTAGGGAACATACTAGTTGGAGGTCCGGAGGACATCTCACTGTGCCCCCTGCTATTGTTCTCATGGGGGGATTAATCAAGCAAGGGGATTATCGAATACAATGGTGTTAAAAGTATAGTCTGTTTTTTTAAACTACTAGGTTTAAACTAATTAACAACTTTATTCACAATAAATTTCATAAAAGTAACAACAAATACATGTATCAAACATAAATCATAACCCTACTAAATGTGATATGGCGTCAGTAAATTCAATTGCACTTTTTACTCCATTTAACAGTTTGATTTTTAGATCATTAATAGATTCTTCTACTCTTTTATATTTTCGTCTTTTAGGGGGCAATCGTCCC